AATTATATCGTTTAGAGGGGTGCGGTTTGTGAACCTCTAGACACTATCGGCGATTCAAGGCACTGGTTTGTGGCTTATCGGCAGTCGAAACATACGATCTTCATCACGCGCTCCCCACGCTCGCCGTCTATCTCGCGTGCGTGTAACTCAGCCCTCAGCATTCCTACGCCCACTAGGTCTCGGACTTCTCCCGCGCTAATGTCGTCCGTCCCGCCTAAGCCTACACGGCTTAGGCCTTCGCCCGCGTACGTCCACGCATCTCCGCCCGCTGATACGGACACGGCGAGAAGGCTCAAGAACGCAACGAGTCGCGCGTGGCATGCGCGAAGGAGGCTAAGTCGTCGTGCCGGAGAGGCGCGATACGCGGATGGGCAAGCGCGCGCGGAAGATGACGCGCTCGATATTATCGGGGCCGAGCGCGGGATTGAACGCGCAAGCGACGGGATGCACGCGCGAACTTGTCTAGGCGTGCGAGGATTAGGCGAGCTGCTAGACGCACGCGTGGGAATGAAAGATAAAGCCCTAGTCCTTGGGCGATTAGGCGACGCGGGGCAGGGCGGCTTAAGACGCAAGCAAGATATATTCTAGATAGCTTGGTTAATATTTATTTCCTTGTTTTCTAGTTTGGTTAGGACACTTAATATTTTATTGCTTTATTAGAGTTTGATATAGGATAATATTATCTGTATAAAGACGAGCCGATTTGGTGAGCCGGTCGAGAAGGACAAACCGGAAGCAAACCGAGCTGAAAGGCGGGAGTCCGCGTGATCGAGCGACCTAAGGCTCGACCACACAAGCGATCGAACAACCCGAGGCTTGACTACACAGGTGATCGAGCAGCCCGATGCTCGATCAGACTGGTAGAGCTACCCTCTAATCGATCAGACCAGTGATCGAGCAAGCTGGGTGATCGAGCAAGCTGATCAACATAGGCCCAGACGCGTGTATGGCAGACGCGCGTGTGAGGGTCTCTGACTGAGCTGCAGGAGAATATTTACCCCATGTGCTGGGTGGACACGTGTCGACAATGTATTGGGTGATAGCGATAACCACCTCTGACAACGCCCAAACGTCCCGCGGCACCCCTGACATGTGCGCGGCGTGTCAGAGTACGGACGGGCAGCTTGGGCAGCACACGTATCCTCATCCGGGCAGCTATTGGGGCAGGTATCTCACCCCTATAAAAAGGGGATGAGCCTTTCTTCCTGAACACATGCTATTCATTCTCTAAATTCCAGTATACTCATTCACATACTGACTTAAGCATCGGAGGCTCTTCACCGGACCCAACCCCCGGTGTGAGAGTTATTTGTAGGTTCTCGGCGTTCTACCGGCAAGGACAAGAATCGATCTACTCCAAACCGGACCCGGACGCTTACACTTGCATTAGAGTTATAGTTATATTAGGATTAGATCTAGTTGATGCCTATATAAAGGCCCTTCCTCTTGTTAATTTAATCATTCGGGAATCAATACAAACATCCGAACTTTTGTTCAAACTCTCTGCTCTAGTTTTCTTCTTGAATTCTTTAGCAACTTTATTCGTTAGAAAGGCAGCGAGTGTGTGACTTCCTAACACCTATCGAGCGATTTAAGGCGCGGGAGCGGCTTGTCGATAGTCAAGACACACGGTCTTCATCATTGGTGCTTTCATTGAGAGAGTCGATCGTGTGTCTTTCCTTTCCCATTCTCTTTTAATTTTTCTTTCTTAATTTTCGTTCGTTCAAAAACAAAATCAATCAAAATTAGTCCGGGAAGTCGAGAACGTAGGCAAGCCAGAAAAGATATGGCCAATCGAGAGTTGAAGGAAAAGGTTGAAGGTTTGGAAGGCCAATTCAAGGCCATAAGCGAAAGCATGGAGGATCGGTTTGGATCTCTCGACGAGGGACAGATCAGCACCAACGCTACCGTGGCTCGCCTCGAGCAGCGCCTGGAGGAGGTGTTGCGCGGGTTCCAGCGACAGCAGCAGCAGGAGCCACCACGGGTGAACGCACGCGAGCATCTAAGGCAACAAGAGCAGCAGCGGGCGGATCACAACCCCGAGGAGGAGGAAGAATACGAACATCGGTCGCAGGCGTCGAACGTATAGGAGCGAGCCCGCGTCGAGAAACCGAGGATCGTGCTCTCGACGTTCACGGGAGCCAACCCCGACGCTTGGCGGAACAGGGCGGTGCAATTCTTCGACTTAAATGAGATGCCACAACGTGACTGGGTTCGGTATGCCGCGTACTATTTAGATGGTGAGGCCAACGTATGGTGGCCGTGGCTCACGCGCGTGTA